TAACATTGCCGAAATTGGCAGTCATGGGTTTCCGCGCGTTTCTTGTTATGGACATCGAGGTGAGCAGGTAGACAATGGCAGGAAATGGCAGGAAATGGTCGAAAAATGGTCGAAAATTGATTTCCACGGTTATTTGGTAGGAAATGGATTTCCGCGTGTTTTACGCCATTTCCCTACTACTATTTTAGATGCTATTAGACTCCATTTTGTTTCACTCACAGAATAGCCGTAAAACACTGAACAAGACAAGGTATTGATATTGAATATGGAAACTAAATATAGTAATCACCTTCAATCATCTTGCAGTAATCGATGTACTGTATGAAACAGAATAGATATTAAAAATGATAGTAATCGTACATAATGGACTGCTTATGATCTACTATGTAAAAAACTATATAATGCCGCAAAACTAGTGGCATTATTTCATCTCGTGAACAGTACAAGTATTTCGAGAAATACCCTTTTTATTAGTATACTGACACTTTATAGGAATAATAATAAGAATAATAGGACTGGTAAAGAAACAACAGTTATTATATTTCATAGAATGAGCATATTGATATTATCAATTTACCATCAGTAACTTTGAAATAATCACTGCAATTATTTTAAATATGAGAATATGCTTGGGTAAAGAATGGAAACCAAATGGCTGGATTTCACTCATATTGAGAAATAGAGAATGTGTAGTATTGCAATTCAATAATGGAGTATTCATGAATCAAGGTTTTGTACTCAATGAGCAGAAAGTGTTGAAAGTGATTGGAAATCATCAAATTGGTGCTATTTCCTATCATGAAGAACAATCCATAGAAGTAGTAGAAGGAATCGTGGATTTGGATCATGGAAGTCGATTTGAAGGATTGGTATTAGCAGAAAACAAGTTGGGAATTCCATTTGGATATGGTGAAATGTATGATGATGATGGAATATTGGTGTACAAGGGTATAATGATCAATTGGAAACGATTTGGATATGGAACGAGTTATCATAATAATGGATGTATTGAATATGAAGGATATTGGTGTGATGATAATCGATTTGGAATTGGAAAAGTGTATGATCGATATGGTAAATTAGTGAATGAATGTGAATGGTGTAATGGAATTGAATGTGATATTGATGAAAAATATGAAGGAGATGGCTTAGAACCATTGAATATGGGAATGAAACATTTGAAACTGAGTGACAATTGTGTATTGGTTGATTGGGATGTTTCATTGTTGTATAATTTGGAATCAATCGAAATTGGTGATGATTGTTTTGGATCAGTGAAAACATTCCAAATCGATGGATTGAATCGATTGAAAACGATCAAAATCGGTATGTATTCATTCACTCAAAAGATGGATTTCTTTGGTAAGAATTGATCAAAATCATTCCACATATTGAATTGTGAATCATTGGAATCCATTTAAATAAGATCAAAAATAGATAAATCATATAATTTCATTTATGGTTCATTTGTGATTCGAGGTATTGCGCTGATATTGAATATTTGAATGATTAAATCTACCAAATCTACAAACTATATTATTAGGGGATTATTCACTTTGAGGTGAAATAGATGAGTCACAGTTATTGCATATGCGAAGCATGAATGATGCGATACGAAATAATCGATGTAAATCTTAATATTCTGCAAAATCGATTCTTCACAATAAGGTTTCTGTTTTTCTCTTCACGTATCATTGGAAAGTATTATCAAATATAGTACATTAAATATATGTCGAAAAACCAAATCCTTGACATGCCAAACTTCCTATCTTGTTCGGGATAGCTCAATTGAAGTCAATTATAAGTATGGCTTGCCTGATTGTGTATTATTTAAAAATACTCTATTATCTCTCGTCGATCATGTCATAGTCAAGTGATATTTCTTCAGTCCTTGGTGAGCTTATACTGTTTTTAATATTTGTATAACTTTTATTGCTTGATTATCTATCTGTTTCCGACTGATTATCTATACCATTTGAACATCCTCATTCTCTTATGTATTATCGTTTATATTAATTGACTATTTATATTAAATATAGTAAAAAATAAAGATTAAACTCGAATGTTTGTGTAAGAATAAAACTATATTTGACAAATACTAACTAATTCATAGTAATTTTACTCTGCGCTACTCTAATATAAGAAAAGACTTTAGAGGTTTTCACGGACCAATGGTTCTTAGACTTTTAAAACAGAATGTGTATTATATTGGCATGCAAAGAAATGAAATGTATGTTACTGTTATTAGGTTTGCTGAGAAAGCTCAATAAGAATGGATATAAATAATAAAATACATTATCGCTCTGTATTACATGAGAATAAGGAAGTCTGATTCACAGAAGGTTTCAAACAAAAAGGCAATCAAATTATAATTAAAAGGATGATTACCAGACGAAGCAAAGCAAATACACATCTATCTAGATGATTTACTGGTTGCTCTTGACAAGATAAGCAAGAATGGAAGAAACATCTATAAATGAAATCAACTCAACTCAACAAAACAATACTCGAAATTGATTTTGTTCGGATATTCTTCAAAGAGTCAGGTAGATTGGCATTCTTTAGATTAGGAATATCTAAATATTATTATCATTCAATAATAATAATAATCACTTTCCAATGTCACTATACAAGGATCACGGAAACTACATCCTTTAGAACTGATAAATAGTAGATTTGGAAGATCTACATGCAATCATTCGAATTATCTCATTTATACTTCGCATCAGTAATGAGCAGGATTCACTATTTGGCCATCCTTGGAGCGCATAAATACCAAGTTGTATGGATTGTAATGATGGAAGATCTACATCAATCGTTTCATTTGAATTCATTCAATACTTTCCATTATTGTCGATAAGGATCTATGGAATGTCCATTGCCCCAAGAGAATGGACTGCAGATTTGGAAGATCTATGCATTACCCAAATATTCAATATCAGCGCAATACCTCGAATCACAAATGAACTATAAATAAAATTATATGATTTATCTATTATTGATCCTATTTGAATGGATTGTAATTGTGGCAGATTCTTCAATTCAAAGTCGCCAGCAAAATCACTGAAACTATATTCACCAATTTGAATGGATTCCAATGATTCACAATTCAATATGTGGAATGATTTCGATTTATCATTTCCATATCCATTCGTTTTCTGAGTAAACGAATTGTTTCCGATTTTGATCGTTTTCAATCGATTCAATCCATCGATTTTGAATGTTTTCACTGATTCAAAACATTCATCACCGATTTCGATTGATTCCAATGACTCGAATTTGTTCAGATCCAATTCATTCAAATCATTACAACAATTCGAGCATATTAACAAGTCCTTTACTTTCAAATCTATTCCTTTTAATTCAGAACAATTGTGGATTTCAATTCGTCTAGTAGACATATTTGCAATTGGCTCAGTTTTCATTTCACCTGGACTCTCATTCTTCAGTATATTTCGAATGCTTTCGTTCATTCCTTTCACATACCAACCTTCAAACAAATCGATTCCACCTTTCTTTTCTTTGCCATGTTCCCATTCACTTTCTCGAATTGCTGTTCCACTTACTTCGTCTATCAAATATCCCACTCCATTACGTACAAATTTACCATTTTCTATACAATATCCTCCTATATATAGTGGAATTCGATTCAATACTTCAACATTCTGGCTATTTTCATTTTCTTCATTTTCAGCATATTCGATCATTTGGTTATTATCGGGATCAAATTCACGAATGATTCGAATCAATTTGTCTTTTAACCAGTATCCTTCAACCTTCTCTTTACCACTTTCTACATCATATTCAATTCCAAAACCATCTCGATTCATTTCTTCATCAAATCCACCTCGATAGATCACTACATCACCAGCATTACTATCTTCTTTTCCACATTTACATCGAATTGTCATGATCAATCCTTCTTTACTATTTTCGATCCTTCTGCGATCTCCCTCATTTTCAAGGATCGAATTCCAGTTTTCTCTTTGTAATGCTTTACCGTTCTTATACTCTGTTATTCCACCGATTCGTTTACCATTTTTCATCATCCATGCAAGACTCAAGATTCCACGATTGAATAATTGACATCGACCTTCAACTTTACCATTTTTCATTTCACTCAACAAATACTCGTTTGAATGATCTCCTTGATATAGAGTTACTTCATATTCCACTCCATTAATGGCAATTTTCTTCTTTTCCCTGGTAATGTAGTCATTGAGAAAATACCTGGATTCTCTGGTATGTTTTGATAAATCTATATTACTATAGTATTTCTATACACATACTATCAGTTTTACTAACCATTGTATTGGTCTCAAGGTTTTTCTGTAATATTTCGCTTTTCACCAATTATTATTAACGCAATATAGTATTACCTCATATACAGTATCTTCTCTGAACTCATTATACATTTTACGAAGGTGATTCAAAGGAATTTCCTTTCTTTCATTTTCTCAAAGAAAAATGGAGTCCTATTCTATTGAAATATGTGAGGAATATTGACATATAGATTTACCATAATATTACTCCATTTCCGTGATTTACGTACAGGTTATCTTTTGGATAAAGCAATTATTTCTGTAACACGAGACAGTATTTTTCTATTTTGCCAATGCTGTGTATTGATGATTTGAAGGTTCTTCACCGATCTAGGTTCTTATCGGCTATTTAATACTGATAATGGACAGCAAAGTTATTATATTATTATTGATTTCATTTATGTTGCTAGAATTCGTTATTTTCAACAATGCACTATTGGGTGCTCACGCTGAGTTTATTCCCAAATGGTTTTCACTTAGAATGGTTTTTAAATGACATGTGATTGCTGTTTAATAGTTTTTACTGGTATGATGCTATCCATTATTGCTGGCTCACGTAATAAATAGCAAATGCCAATAATGTTATATTTCGCTTTTAATGTATTTATTGTAATCATGTTAAATTGAGTGATCTGTTTCTGTAAAACAATGCACGGTCAGCATACCCATCAATCTAGATTACTGTTCCTCAACCTTGCAGATCTTTTCAAATACATCGCTCAGTGAGGATTCATTAATCGACCAATATGTGATTATATTCGATCTCTGCATATCCATGATGGTTACCAATAACTTGGACAAGTCTACACGATCCTTCATGATTGTGAACGAATAGATGTTTGCTTTCGTTTCCAAAAACTCCACATCTGGGCATATCTTAAACTTCACATACTCCACCGCGTTCCTGATTTCTGGTGCAAATGAGAGCAAAAGCAAGAATCCCTTTCCAAACTTATTCTTCAGCTCCACTTGATCTCCAATGCACTGCAATTCCTGGCTCGTCATGATTGCAATCCGCGTGCACAGAGCATCCGCTTCCTCCATCGAATGCGTCGTAATCAGAATCGACATTTCCTTCTGAACCCGCTTCACAATATCCCAAATCGCAAAGCGCGTTTCGGGGTCCAAGCATGTCTACAGATCATTCCAGAACTCACATTCCCAACCGTCGGTTCATCCAAGAAGAGAAGGCGAGGCTGACTCATTAGAGCCATTCCCAAAGTCAATCGACGCTTCTGTCCGCCACTCAACACCGAGGCTTTCCGCTTAAAAACATCGTGTGAGAGACCCACAACCTCCGCTTTTTCCTTGCAGAACCCTTCGATGAGATTTCGATTTGTGTGATGAAGTCTGGCCACAAGAGTCAAATGCTCCTCCACGGTCATATCATCGAAGAACGTGTCGAACTGAGGAACCACTGCGATCAATTCGCGAAGACGTTTCACATCGGCTCCATCATATCCAAAGATCTTCATTTGACCCATGTTTAAATTCAGATTGCCGGTCATGATATTGATCAATGTGGTCATTCCAGCTCCATTCGGTCCCAATAATCCAAACACATCGTTATCACGAATCGCAAAGCTGATCTCTGGGAATACGCGCTTACCACTTCTACAACATTCATTTTCCTCTCTCCACAACGTACTTGCCGAAGAAATACTTGGAAACTCGACTGACAATCAGACTGAGGTTTTTACGATCATCCGGAGTTTGGACGTTGATAAGCGAATCAGTCAGTTCTCTCTCCTGCTTTACACTCTCATCGCTGATCTCCGTCTTGGAGTCTGGTTCCTTCTTTATCGATGAGCCTCGTTTCTTCTGATAGTACTATTCATGATCCCTTTTGCTCATTCTATTCCTACGCGATCGAGAGTGATCGAGAAATCTTGCGAGAGCCACATGATAAAATACGACAAGAAGACGAATAGAATCGTCGAGATTAAGGAGTAAATGAATGCTTCGTTACAGAGCATACGACGCTGCAAGGAGGGACTGACAATGTATTGAGTGACAATCATCATGAAGGATCCAGGCAGCATCGCAAAGAATAAGCTCGTATTACCATCAGAGTTGAATAGCAAAGCGCCAATAGCATTGATAAAAATGTTCACAGTCGTTGCAAGCGAACTACAACATGGAGAGAATCGAAGAGATGTATGGTGATGTGAAGCAACAACTAAATAAAATGAAAAACGACAAGCAATGACTGCAACTCCACAGAAGATACCAGATCGCCGTACCTGTGATTCTGAGAGAGTATTTCTTGAAGGACACAAAGAAGAGAATGTATCTAGATTCATATAGAACGAGAAGGAAAACATGATCATGAAAATGAGTAAGAATAACGTGTAGAAAATTAGAAGACTAGTAACATAGTGATAAGATCGAACACCATTGATATAAAGAATCGAAAGGCAATTGTTGGCACGATCATTCACAATTCGATAGATAACGAAAGCGAAAGAATCATAATGGAATCAATGGGACAATTAGATTGCAATAAAAACTAAAATTCCAATAGTGCCGATGAATCATAAGTATTGAAATAGAATATGCTTATGAAATACCAATGAACAAATCGATGTATGAATAATAATGTAATGAAACATTGTACAATAATGAAGAACTGTGACAAAACTATTATAAGTAGGATAATACCAAAGAATACAGGTGTTTGGATTATACATTATGTGATTGTCTATTTTGGTTTATCATTTCATTTTGGAGTGTATTGAATTTGGAGATAATTGAAAGTGAAACAAAGTATGTATGAATGAAACCTTATACTTTACAATAATAATGTACCTCAAAAAAAGAAATGTTTGCTTGCAAGTATAGAATAACTGATGTCGTTTACGAGATATAATTGCCCAAACAACGCTCTGTTTGTTGATCCATAGAAGCGACTGCTGGTTAATATTGAGAAATCAAAAGTGTTAGGCTTTGTGACTATAACTGGTTGAATATTCTTTTGGTTGGTTGTGTTTGTTTTGATTACCTTGATTCTACTGGAATCAGAGGATTATTGCGTCTGACGTGATGAACGGTAGGAAAGTGGAAAAATAGGAGAGAGATGGAAGGAGAGAAATTGTAAATAGAGAGATTAAGTGAGAGATAGGATTCGATGTGACTTGTATTGAGGATCGCTCTTTTTTCATTATGAATGAATCATTTGTCTATCATTCCGATTGGAATGGCGGTTCATTCCATTAAGGTATTGCATTGTAAAAAGCGTATCTTGGATGAATTGAATGCAAATGACTGTAGAATTGACCAAAATCGAATAATCAGGAAAAATATAAAAAAAGCAGTGTTGAATGAATAATGACATTTGAAATTGAAATTCCAAAAGTCATTTCAGACCTACATTAAAAACGATAGGAAATGAATGACTGAATAATCTTCGAATTGGACGAGTTGTCGATTTTCACACTAAATGGATTCGATCCAAATGTGATTGACAGCAGTGGCTCGCCATTCTCTACCACAAACCGTAGAAACTGTAGAAATGGGTTGTATAATAGGAGTATTTGTTACTCGAATGGGATATGAGGAGTCGGACAAGATCTCCCGGTTCAACATTTCTGAATCAAATGGCTAGTTATTCATATATGTGTTAATCCCATTGCATACGAATAGGTAGTTGGTGTGTGAGAGAGAAATCGTTGTGATGTTTGAATGGAAAGCGGATTGGATGGAATTGCGGGAGATTGATGAATAAGACGGTGTGAATTAGTTGACAAATAGTGAAATCGCTTGAAAAGCAATGGATGTTCAAGGGTTGTAGTGTTGAAACAATATAGAATGGTCGTGCCGTGAACTGTGATGTGAAGAAAGGATTGTTTGTGACAATCACTGGATCAAAGTTATTGGTTCCTATAAGATAATGACTTTACTAGAATTTTGGATGATGTATTTGGTCATAGGGAAAATAATGATAATATAGACTATTTACACAAAGTGGAGTGAACAACGAAATCCTTGCTTCATAACATGATTTCACTATGATATCATAAATATACAACCTATACAGACATAGTAGACAACAAAATGGACTTTTCCATTCTGAGTGTTTCCAAACAATCCTGATATTATAAATATTATAAATATCTATACCTCCGAACTATCTTAACCACAAGAATGTGAACAAAATGATGCGAAACACAAGTGAGTACTTCACTTGGAAATCTTGGATCCAATGTGTATATGGTAGCACTCTATCATAATTTTTAAATATGAAGAATACTTAGGTGTAAGGAAACAAACTGATCTCTCTGTTTTCTTCATAAATTCTTTATATTTGGCTACAAATTACGGATTCAAAGAGTAGAGGCTAAGGATATGTGATTATAAATAGGTAGAATGGAAGAACTTAAGGGAAGCGAATTTCTCCTGGACGGTTACATAACGCTTGGTGAAGCAAAGAAAACCACTATTGGCGGCTGCAAGTATAGCCTCCAATATTATCAAGGCGATCACGAGGATGAATACACGTTGACAAAAGCTGGGAAGGTTTGCCTATTCCAAAATGGCATACTAAAAATGTACTACGAGTTGGATGCGAACGAAAATCAAATCGGTGACTTCATCCCGTAAGAAAAAGGATGCGTCGCTTTTGTGCAGTCCTTTGACGATATCTGGGACAGAAAGAATTTTCATCGTATTATAAACCATGTCCGAGGCGAGCGAATGGAAATCTATTCGTATGCGAGTGATCACCTGATTTATCACGGTGAATTCAATGAGAAGCGAGAGAGGGAAGGATGGGGCATCCAATATGACGAAAAAACGGGTGTCATGCTGCTTGAGGGAATATGGAAGGGGAACAAGCTGGTGGAGATCATCCGCAAAATCGAAGGAGCCATTATGATCGAGTTCAAGCGAAGCGGGAACAACACCATCGCTTCGAATCGAATTCCCCTGTTTGTGGGTGAATTCGTTTATGATGAATCGAAAGAATCGTTTCTTCGAAATGGTTGAGGATACTGGATCGATGAAAAAACTCGGATTGCTACTCGCGAAGTGGAATGGAAAGATGGAGTGGAAGTGAGTGGAAGAGATCTCTATGATGGATGGCATATTCATTCATTCATTCACTCACTCAATATTACTTGTTTATTTAATACTATTGCTATGTTAATCACATTGCATTTTACATTGTTTTGTTGATCAAATAGAAAGCAAGGTTTTCATTCATAGGATTCATGGATTCCATCCATTATCATATTATTCAATCGATTGTTTTGTTTAATGATACTATGATTCCTATTCACCATTTCAATCTATGAACCACATTCCTTTCTCTGCAATATCATTCTTTGTACTCAATATGGATGATCATTGTGACAGAAGAGAATCGAAGTATCAACAGAGAATCAATACAATAAACCACTTGTCAAATAGAAATGATGGATTTTGCATTCTGCATACTACTGCCATACTCTCTATTACGAATCTAACCATTCCAACAGTATTCACTATTGTGAGTTCGATTGATGCAAAACAAAATTAACAACCACATAATTGATATATTTTGAAGAGCATACATCCATTATAGACTTAATAGAACAGCCATTCTGACAAGAGAGAGTAAAGGTGATCAAAATGCGTAATAATTTACATATATAGCTATAAGTATCTGAATTAAAAACACAAAAATAAATGAATAGATAGAAATGCACCGAAATAAAGAAAAATAGAAATGGGTGGAGAAAATGAGATTTTATCTTATGTATTCTAGTTTGTAACACAGCAGCATATCAAAGACATACACAATAATCCATGACGTGTGTTCTATCGAGAAATAATGAAACAGATTTTGTTTCCAAAAAAACGTTTTACCATATTTTTCCTCATTTCCATGCAAAACATTGCTGATTTTGTCAATTCTGCTATTAGTAACTATCATATTGATAGTTCCATTATTCAAAATGTACAGGGATGCTTGGGCAAAAAATGGAAACCAAATGGATGGATTTCACTCATTTTGAGAAGTAGAGAATGTGTAGTATTGCAATTCAGCAATGGAGTATTCATGAATCAAGGATTTGTGCTCAATGATGAGAAAGTGTTGAAAGTGTTTGGAAATCATCAAATTGGTGCTATTTCATATAATGAAGAACAATCCATAGAAGTAGTAGAAGAAGGAATCGTGGATTTGGATCATGGAAGTCGATTTGAAGGATTGATATTGGCAAAAAACAAGTTGGGAATTCCATTTGGATATGGTGAAATGTATGATGATGATGGAATATTGGTGTACAAGGGTATAATGATCAATTGGAAACGATTTGGATATGGAACGAGTTATCATAATAATGGATGTATTGAATATGAAGGATATTGGTGTGATGATAATCGATTTGGAATTGGAAAAGTGTATGATCGATATGGTAAATTAGTGAATGAATGTGAATGGTATAATGGAATTGAATGTGATATTGATGAAAAATATGAAGGAGATGGCTCAGAACCACTGAATATGGGAATGAAACATTTGAAACTGAGTGACAATTGTGTATTGGTTGATTGGGATGTTTCATTGTTGTACAATTTGGAATCAATCGAAATTGGTAATGATTGTTTTGGATCAGTGAAA